CTGACACTAGGACATAGTTCAGAAGATCCCATTACATTGATGGTCAGGGAAAATAATGTCCCCATTACTCTGGTCATCAGTGGAAAAGGGCCTGTTTCATGGTGGCCATTGGGAAGAATGTCCATTATATTGATGATCAGTGGGAAGAATGTCCAATAAATTAGTGGTCAGTGGGAAGAATGTCCATTATATCGATGGCCACTGGGAAGAATGTCCGTTATATTGGCAGTCAGTGGGAAGAATGTCCATTATATTTGTGGCCACTGGGAAGAATGTCCATTATGTCGGTGGTCAGTGGGAAGAACGTCCATTATGTTGGTCAGTGGGGAGAATGTCCATTCTATTGGCAGTCATTGGGAAGAATGTTCAATATATTGACGGTCAGTGGGAAGAATGTCCATGAAATTGGTGGTCAGTGGGAAGAATGTTCACTTTATTGGTGGTCAGTGGGAAGAATAATGCTTACATTGGTGTTAAATGGGAAGAATGTCTCCTATATTTGTGGTCAGGGAGAAGAATGCTCCTTACATTGGTATCTAACATCCAGAAGGCTGCTGTGGATGCACACTTTTTCTGAGTTTTATGTATTTTTTAAGAAAAAAACCTCCTAAAACTAGGTAGACATTAGGACGTTTAACATATTGTATGGGGCTCGGAGGAGGTGGGGATTAAACGGAGGACCTCAAACATACAAAGCGCCTACTCCAACACTGTGCCATATAAAAAAAAACGAAAGTATATGTAAAACATGTCAATGAATATGTAGTACTGTGCTCTAGTGAGGCTGCGAGGCTAATTTTTAGTATTTGGTTTCACATTTGGGGCATGATAAATATTCATACTGCTCATTTGACTCTCCACGCCTTATATTTTGGAAACTTCCTAGCTCAGAGTGTTTGGGAGGCCTTTCCAGAGTGTTCTTTCTTCTCTAGGAAGGGTCTCAGTTCTCCTGGGGCTACAGCCCTAGGGAGATAGCTTGTGAAACAAGAAATTGCAGTATGGGCTTCAACAGGTGCTGGGCTTCGTGCCTGGAGAAGATTGCTAAGGATTATTTGCTGGAGGGCATCATCCTGGAGTTCTGGTCTGGAAAAGGATCTTTTGTCTCCCTCAAAAAAGAACTACAAGTAGATACTGTGCTGCAGACAGCTCCTGGGACAAAGGTGTGCAAGTGCTAGAAGGGAGTGAAGTGCCATAGGATGCTATATGGACTGGGGCTGCTCTTCTAGAGTCCTTTAGTGTGGATGGTGGGAAGAGAGCTGTCAGAGAATGTGTGGATGGTGGGTGGAGAGCTGTCAGTGAATGTATTATGGATGGTGGGGGAGGAGAGCTGTCAGAGAATGTAGTGTGGATTGTGGAAGGAGAGCTGTCAGAGAATGTAATGTGGATGGTGGGAAAAGAGCTGTCCGAGAATGTAGTGTGGATGGTGGGGGAGGAGAGCAGTCAGAGAATGTAGTGTGGATGAAGGAGGAGAGCTGTCAGAGAATGTAGTGTGGATTGTGGGAGGAGAGCTGTCAGAGAATGTAATGGGGATGGTGGGAGGAGAGCTGTCAGAGAATGTAATGGGGATGGTGGGAAGAGAGCTGTCCGAGAATGTAGTGTGGATGGTGGGGGAAGAGAGCGGTCAGAGAATGTAGTGTGTATGAAGGAGGAGAGCTGTCAGAGAATGTAGTGTGGATGGTGGGGGGAGAACTGTCAGATAATGTAGTGTGGATGGTGGAAGGAGGAGAGCTGTCAGAGAATGTAGTGTAGATGGTGGGAGGAGAGCTGTCAAAGAATGTAGTGTGGATGGTGGGAGGAGGAGAGCTGTCAGAGAATGTAGTGTGGATGGTGGAGGAGAGCTGTCAGAGAATGTAGTGTGGATGGTGGGGGAGGAGAGATGTCCGAGAACGTAGTGTGGATGGTGGAGGAGAGCTGTCAGAGAATGTAGTATGAATGGGGGGGGGGAGGAGATCTGTTGGAGAATGTAGTGTGGATGGTGGGGGGAGGAGAGCTGTCGGAGAATGTAGTGTGGATGGTAGGGGGAGTAGAGCTGTCGGAGAATGTAGTGTGGATGTTGGGAGTAGAGCTGTTGGAGAATGTAGTGTGGATGGTGGAGGACAGCTGTCAGAGAATGTAGTATGAATGGGGGGGAGGAGAGCTGTCGGAGAACGTAGTGTGGATGGTGGGAGGAGAGCTGTCGGACAATGTAGTTTGGATGGTGGAGAGCTGTCAGAGAATTTAGTGTGGATGGTGGAAGGAGGAGAGCTGTCGGAGAATTTAGTGTGGATGGTGGAGGAGAGCTGTCGGAGAATGTAGTGTGGATGGTGGGGGGAGGAGAGCTGTCAGAGAATGTAGTGTGGATGGTGGTGGAGGAGAGCTGTCGGAGAATGTAGTGTGGATGGTGGGGGGAGGAGAGCTGTCAGAGAATGTAGTGTGGATGGTGGTGGAGGAGAGCTGTCAGAGAATGTAGTGTGGATGGCGGTGGAGGAGAGCTGTCAGAGAATGTAGTGTGGAAATTGGAGGAGAGCTGTCAGAGAATGTAGTGTGGATGGTGGTGGAGGAGAGCTGTCAGAGAATGTAGTGTGGATGGTGGAGGAGAGGTGTCAGAGAATGTAGTGTGGATGGTGGAGGAGAGCTGTCAGAGAATGCAGTGTGGATGGTGGAGGAGAGCTGTCAGAGAATGTAGTGTGGATGGTGGAGGAGAGCTGTCAGAGAATGCAGTGTGGATGGTGGAGGAGAGCTGTCGGAGAATGTAGTGTGGATGGTGGGGGGAGGAGAGCTGTCAGAATTTAGTGTGGATGGTGGGGGAGGAGAGCTATCAGAGAATGCAGTGCGGATTGTGGGAGGAGAGGTGTCGGAGAATGTAATGTGGATGGTGAGAAGAGAGCTGTCCGAAAATGTAGTGGTGGATGGTGTGGATGGGGAGGAGAGCTCTCGAGAATGTAGTGTGGATGGTGGGAGGAGGAGAGCTGTCAGAGAATGTGTGTGGATGTGGGGGGATGGCTGTCAGAGAATGTAGTGTGGATGGTGTCAGGAGGAGAGCTGTCAGAGAATGTAGTGTGGATGGTGGGGGAGGAGAGCTGTCAGAGAATGTAGTGTGGATGGTGCCGAGTGGGAGGAGAGAATGTAGAGCTGTCAGAGAAATGTAGTGTGGATGGTGGGAGGAGAGCTGTCAGAGAATGTAGTGTGGTGGGATGGTGGGTAGGAGAGGAGAGCTGTCAGAAAAATGTGGTGGGGGGAGGAGAGCTGTGGATGTAGTGGGGGGGGGAGGAGAGCTGTCGGAATGTAGTGTAGTATGAATGGGGGGGGGGAGGAAGCTGTCAGAGAATGTAGTGTGGATGGTGGGGGAGGAGAGCTGTCGGAGAATGTAGTGTGGATGGTGTAGGAGAGCTGTCGGAGGATGTAGTATGAATGGGGGGGGAGGGGGGGGGTGGAAGCTGTCAGAGAATGTATCTTGGATTGCAGTGCTTTTGGTTCTTGTCATGCTGAAATTTTATTTGTCCATTTTACTTTATCATTTTATATGTGATAGAATGTTTTTCTGTATAATTATTTGTTAGTAAGCTTTGTTTTTTTGTACATTTTCCAGGAGGTGGTGATCAGGTGGTTGTCAGTTGAGCACACAGGCATGAAGTGATTTAATCTCCAGATAGGAAGTGAAAAAGATACAGACAGGAAGTGATGTCAAGTGAAAAAGGAAGTGGTGTCAGTAGGATGGAGGAGGTCCTTTCTGAGAGGAAAGTAGAAGATTTTGCTGGATTTGGTAACAGCAGGTAACAGATATAGTAAGATGTCTCTCCCTTACTCTCAGGTACTTCATGGTAGAGCCGTGTTTGTCCTCTATATGGATCTGTCATGTATGTCCAGCAGATGCTTCGATGAGGGTATGTAGGGCCGCAGTGTGATATTATTACAGGTAGGTATATGGATCAGGGTTTCCCAACTCTGGTTCTACCATTCTATCACAGGTAGGTCCCCAACAAATGAGGAGGAGATACTGGACATCATATGAAAGGTCCATCTCCATTCCTCAATATAACGTCATGTTCCCAACAAATGAGGAGATACTGGATACCATATGAAAGGTCCATCTCCATTCCTCACTATAACACATCATGTTCCCAACAAATGAGGAGGAGATACTGGACACCATATGAAAGGTCCATCTCCATTCCTCACTATAACATCATGTTCCCAACAAATGTGGAGGAGATACTGGACAACATATGAAAGGTCCATCTCCATTCCCCAATATAACGTCATGTTCCCAACAAATGAGGACATACTGGACACCATATGAAAGGTCCATCTCCGTTCCTCAATATAACGTCATGTTCCCAACAAATGAGGAGGAGATACTGGACACCATATGAAAGGTCCATCTCCAGTCCTCAATATATCATAGGTCAGGAGGAGGTGAGATAGATTTTGGGAGGGGCACATGCCATCAATGTTATTTTTGAAATAGAAATAGAAACCTGACTAGAGAGGTGAGGAGGATTCTGGGTAGTCTGTAGTTATAATTGTTACTTTCTCTCTATATACAGGATTGTACAGCAGTGAAGGAAATATCTGGAGAGCCTTTACCACTCAGCATTTGTCTTTACAGGACATCACCCATCACGGCCTCCACTTCATAGCTGCACAACAGATGGAACCAGTGCCAAGAAGATCCTAGAAGTCATTAAGAGGAGTTGAGTTGTGCCAGAAATTCTGGGACATTCTCCAGTAACAGACAAGGGATGTGTCTGGATGGTGACTGTATCATTGTGTGTGTCAGGTTCCTATAAGGTGTCAGGGTGTCACTGTCTATTTCTCCATGGAGGAGTGGGAGTATTTAGAAGGACACAAGGATCTCTACAAGGACGTCATGATGGACAATCAGCCGCCCCTCACATCACCGGGTAAGAGGAGACTTTATTGTAAAGGAGAGAGCAGTACGGAGGGTCCACTTAGATCCCCCATCATCTGATAAACACATAGAAACAATGGATTCAGTCAGTGTGTGTGTTTTCCTACAGATGGATCCAGTCATGGGAACCCACCAGAGAGATGTCCCCGTCCTCTGTATTCCCGGGATTCCAAAATGGAAGGTCACACCATCCCTCACCATCATCAGGTAGATGGATCCAGTCATGGGAACCCACCAGAGAGATGTCCCCCGTCTTCTGTATCCCCGGGATTCCACACAGGAAGGTCACACCATCCCTCACCATCATCAGGTAGGTGATTGACAATGTCTGGTAGTTATGATTTGCGTGTTTTCTACAGATGGATCCAGTCTTGGGAACCCACCAGAGAGATGTCCCCAACCTCTGTATTCCCGGGATTCCACACAGGAAGATCACACCATCCCTCACCATCATCAGGTAGATGGATCCAGTAATGGGAACCCACCAGAAAGATGTCCCCAACCTCTGTATTCCCGGGATTCCACACAGGAAGGTCACACATCCCTCCCATCATCAGATAGATGGATCCAGTAATGGGAACCCACCAGAGAGATGTCCCCTCCTCTGTATTCCCGGGATTCCACACAGGAAGGTCACACCATCCCCCACCATCATCAGGTAGATGGATCCAGTAATGGGAACCCACCAGAGACATGTCCCCGTCCTCAGTATTCGCGGGATTCCACACAGGAAGGTTACACCATCCCTCACCATCATCAGGTAGATGAGACTGAACATGAAGACCAAAAATGTCTTCTAAACTATAAGATGGCATTCTATTATGTGATATATTGTTCCTTTTTATAAATGTATTCTGTCATCTTTGAGGTTTAGGGTGAAGAGCTAAAGGATGTCAAGGTTGAGGTTAAAAAGGAAGAGACATTGGTGGGTGGAGATCACCATCCAATGGAGGAGGGTTGTCCTCCTTATTCCCAGGATTCCAGCCAGGAACATCCCAACTATACAGAGAATGATCAGCTAGATGGGACCGGGCAAAAAGAACTCAAAAATAATTCCATGAGAGGACATTTTTCTATGTAATCACTTATTTTTGGCAGAAAAGTTTCCAGACATTGAATGTAGTCTTCTATGAAATTTAGGTTGAAGAACAAAAAGACATCAAAGTTGAGGTTAAAGAGGAAGAAGAAGAGACATTGGTGAGTGGAGATCAGCAGTCTATGGAGGAGGGTGATCCTCTGTATTCCCAGAATTCCAACAAGGAAGATCAGAACTATATAGAGAATGATCAGGTAGATCGGACTGGGTAAAAATAAAAATAATTCTGTGAGAGGACATTCTTCTATGTAACCTTTTATTATCGAAAGCATTGTCTTCAAATGTTACATTTTATCATTTCTGGAATTTAGAACAAGGAACGGAAGGACATCAAAGCTGAGGATAAAGAGGAAGAAGAAAGGTTGGTGAGTGGAGATCAGCAGTCTATGGAGGAGGAGATGATTATGGAAAGTAAAACGGAGGAACCTTCTCTAAATACGGACACAAGTAAGTCATAAACCCTAAATACTGAAATAGTTTAGATTTTGATTTAAAAATATAAAGTATAGATTTTTATAATCATTACATAGGTTCAAGTATAGTGTTTAAGAAAATAGAAAAACATTGCAAAGAAGCATTTAGTCCAGACGAGGGGAGAAAACCTTGGACTAAACATTCTACAATAATCTTGATTACGCAAATTTAGGAGCCTTTTATAGTTTTTATATATTTATGAACAATTCCAGAGATACTAGACACCATATGAAAGGTCCATCTCCATTCCTCAATATAACGTCACGTTCCCAACAAATGAGGAGGAGATACTGGACACCATATGGAAGGTCCATCTCCATTCCTCAGTATAACGTCATGTTCCCAACAAATGAGGAGGAGATACTGTACACCATATGGAAGGTCCATCTCCATTCCTCAATATAACGTCATGTTCCCAACAAATGAGGAGGAGATACTGGACACCATATGAAAGGTCTATCTCCGTTCCTCAATATAACTCACGTTCCCAACAAATGAGGAGGAGATACTGGGTCCACACCATATGAAAGGTCCATCTCCATTCCTCAATATAAACGTCATGTTCCCAACAAATGAGGAGGAGATACTGGACATCATATGAAAGGTCCATCTCCATTCCTCAATATAACGTCATGTTCCCAACAAATGAGGAGGAGATACTGGACACCATATGAAAGGTCCATCTCCATTCCTCAATATAATGTCATGTTCCCAACAAATGAGGAGATACAAATGGACACCATATGAAAGGTGCATCTACATTCCTCAATATGACATCACGTTCAGGTAGATGTGTGGCTCTCGGTCAGCACATGTGATTTCTGAGTATGAAGAATAATTTTGCCATGTTTTCCGTGTTCTCCAGCAGGCGGGTGTTGTATCTGGAATGTCTCGGAGGGACGACTTATTTTATCTCCAGAATATAATGCAAATTCCAATGACATCAACATTTTTCCAGGAGACAATTTGATCCTTCAGTACACACGGCGATCAATGGATCCCTCCAATCTTCAGGAATCATCTGATCGATCCCACACTGTGACTCCAGATACACATCAAAGATCTCACAGTACAGAGAGATCCACAGATCCAGCTAAACTCGAGGAAGCTTCCTTAGGCAAAGAAGGAGTTTGCACACTAGAGAGTTCCTTTTCCTTCTCAGTGTGCAGGAAATCTTTCAGTAAAAACAGATCACTTCTAAAACATCAAAGAAGTCACGTGGATGAGCGTTCTTATTCATGTCCAGAGTGTGGGAAATGTTTCATGCAGAGAGAAGACTTTCTTGAACACCAGAAAATTCACACTGCTATGCATTCCTATTCGTGTTCAGAGTGTGGGAAGTGTTTCAGTGAGAGAGAAAAACTTCTCGTACACCAGAAAATTCACACGGGTGAACGTCCTTATTTGTGTTCAGAGTGCGGGAAAGTTTTCACTCTGAAATCAAACCTCCTTGCACACCAGAAACGTCACACACGGGTGAACGTCCCTATATATGTTCAGAGTGCGGGAAAGGTTTTGCTTTGAAAATGTCACTTCTTGTACACCAAAGAATTCACACAGGGGAGCGTCCATATCAGTGTTCAGAGTGCGGGAGATGTTTTACTCAGAGAGGAGACCTTTTTAGGCATCAGAAAACCCACACCGGTGTGCGTCCCTATCCATGTTCAGAGTGCGGAAAATGTTTCAGAGAAAAGAGAGGACTTGTTGTACACCAGAAAATTCACACAGGTCATGGTCTCTATTCATGTTCAGAGTGCGGGAAATGCTATACTGAGAAAAAGTTACTTCTTGTACACCAAAGAAATCACACAGGTGAGCGTCCATACGCATGTTCAGAGTGCGGGAAATGTTTTACTCAGAAAAGCAGGCTTGTTGTACACCAGAAAATTCACACTGGTGAGCGACCCTATTCGTGTCCAGAGTGCGGAAAATGCTTCGCTGGCAAAGGAAGGCTTGGTCAGCACCTGAAAACTCACACAGGTGAGCGCCCTTATTCCTGCTCAGTATGCGGGAAATGTTTCAGTCAGAAAGAAAGCCTTCTCAGGCACCAGACTTGTCATACAGGCGAGCGTCCCTTTTCTTGTTCAGAGTGTGGGAGATGTTTTGCTGAGAAAGGAACCCTTGTTAAACACCAGAAAATTCACAGGAATGAGCGTCCTCATTCATGTCCAGAGTGCGGGAAATGTTTTATCAATAAAAAGGACCTTCTTATACACCAGAGAACTCACACGGGCGAGCGCCCCTATGCTTGCTCGGAGTGTGACAAAAGCTTCATGGAGAAAGGAAGCCTTACAGTACACCAGAAAATTCACACAGGTGAGCGTCCCCATACCTGTTCAGAGTGCGGGAAAGGTTTCACTCAGAAAGGAAGCCTGGTTAGACACCAGAGATGTCACACTGGCGAACAGCCCTATTTATGTACAGAGTGCGGGAAATGTTTTAGTCAGAAAATACACCTTCTTAGACACCAGAGGAGCCACGCCGGCGCTCGCCCTTATTCATGTTCGGGGTGCGGGAAATGTTTCACTCACAAAGCAGGCCTGGTCAAACACCAGAAAAATTCACATGAGAGTGAAAGCCCCTTGTAACGGGCATTAGAAGTACGCAGCCCGAGGGAGTGTGGGGAAACTTTCATAGCCGGGTGATCTGGGGAAGGAGAGGTTCAAGTAACTGCACCCCGTGTGCCACAAATTATGAACCCTTTCGCTGCCAGAGCCATTGTTCAGTCTTTTTACACGTTCCAAAAAATCATGAAGATGACATCAAACCCCAAATTATGTTTTTCTTTCCTTAAAGCAGACAAAGCAGAGAATAAAATGGCGGCAGTTCAAATTATGAATGTCACATGATATCGGCGTAAAGGTTTAGGAAACGCAGTGTCAGTACAAAAAAAAAAAATCAACTGAAGTTAATTTTAGGCAAAGAAAAGCAATAAAATGCACAATTATTTGTTGCAATCTGAAAGACGAGTGTGCACCAAGGAAATACATACCTCTCCTTTCTTCCTCCCTTCTCCTTTCTCTTTTCTTCCTCCTACTTCCTCCCTCTTCTTCTCCCTGTTCCTTCTTCTTCCTTCCTCCCTTCTCCTTTCTCCTCCCTTCTTTCTTCCTCCTTCTTCCTCCCTCTTCCTTCTTCTTCCTACTTCCTTCCTCCTCCTCCTCCTCTTCCTCCTTCTCCCTCCTTCTTTCTTCTTCCTTTCTCCTTCTTCCTTTCCTCCTTCCTTCCTTCCTTCCTTCCTCCTCCTTCTTCCTTCTTCTTACTCTGCTTCTTCTTCCTTCTTCTTCCTCCTTTCTTCTTCTTTTTTTCTTCTTTTCCTTCTTCCTCTTTTTCCTTCCCTTCTTTTCCTTCCTCTTCTTTTCCTTCCCTTCTTTTCCTTCCCCTTCTTTTCCATCCCCTTCTTTTCCTTCCCCTTCTTTTCCTTCTTTCCCTTCTTTTCCTTCTTCCCTTCTTCCTTTTTCAACAGTGCATATCGCACAGTTGGATAAGCTTCATGGTTGTAATCCCTAATTAGCCTGGTTCCAGAATGTCTGCTTGACAACCATTTTCCTCTGACCTGTAAGCATTCAGTCGGTTACACCGTAAGCATTACAGCATAAAACGTACATCCCACATGAGTCATTTTTCATACAAATTCATAACCTTCCTGCTGAACTGGGCACATGGATATGAAGTATATATTCAGATAGGTCATTTTAATACGAGTCACATGACACCTTACATCCCTATGTAGCGCCTACAAGAAGGTAAAAAGCAATATCTTTTATCCGGAGTGGCAGGATACCCTACAGTTTAGTATCTGTACATTTGGAATATGATTCTACATATTAATCTGCCAGTTGCTAGGATGCTACCTGTACCTATTGAAGGTTATTGACCATAGTATGAACTTGTAAGGGATTTGGTCCTAACCTTGGTCACCGCCTAACACCCATCCCCAAATGAGGCGATTGGCTATTTGTTCTCAGGAGACACCCCTTTGAGATGATAGAAAAAGACTGACAGCCTAGAGAGAAGTGAGCTCTCCTTTAACATCAGGAACCATCTTTGGGAGAAAGGCAACCTTTTGATCAGGCGATTGGACTCTGCTCAAACAAAGGACTTTTGCAAGTATCCTGCCTTCTGAAACTCCTTTCTTTTATTTCTCTGTTGTGTTATTGCTCTCATTTTATATCTTTGTTACTTTTTTTTCTGTAAATATTTTAATTGCACCATTTTGACCTTTTTTAGTAATAAATCCTATTTTCTGAAAAGTGAACTGTCTCCAAAGCTTTTAATGCAAACTAAAGAATACCTTTCTCTGGAGAGCGCTACTGTATATGATAATCCTCTGATATCCCTGTCCCTGGAAGAGTGTTCCTGTATATATAATCCTCTGATATCCCTGTCCCTGGAAGAGTGTTCCTGTATGTAATAATCCTCTGATATCCCTGTCCCTGGAAGAGTGTTCCTGTATATATAATCCTCTGATATCCCTGTCCCTGGAAGAGTGTTCCTGTATGTAATAATCCTCCCTGATATCCCTGTCCCTGGAAGAGTGTTCCTGTATATATAATCCCTCTGATATCCCTGTCCCTGGAAGAGTGTTCCTGTATGTATAATCCTCTGATATCCCTGTCCCTGGAAGAGTGTTCCTGTATATATAATCCTCTGATATCCCTGTCCCTGGAAGAGTGTTCCTGTATGTAATAATCCTCTGATATCCCTGTCCCTGGAAGAGTGTTCCTGTATATATAATCCTCTGATATCCCTGTCCCTGGAAGAGTGTTCCTGTATGTAGTAATCCTCTGATATCCCTGTCCCTGGAACGAGTGTTCCTGTATGTAATAATCCTATGATGTCCCTGGAAGAGTGTGGAAGAGTGTTCCTGTATGTAATAATCCTCTGATATCCCTGTCCCTGGAAGAGTGCTCCTGTATGTAATAATCCTCTGATA